TTACTAGCAACGTTAATGAGAACTCCTTGTGTTCAATAATAACTCAAGTTTTCCAATAAGCGTAAACTTATGATAGTTAACTTTAATCTGGTTATTACTTTTATTATTCTATACATTTATACTTTGATTATTGTTGGAATTCTTATAATCATTTTCAAATATTCTTTTGTTAAGGCTAAAAATAATACTAAAACAGTAATAAATAACACTCACAGGTTTATTATGCTGGAGAGTAACATCAATTACATTCTCAAGAGGTGCCTTTTAAGGAATACCGCCACTCTCACAACACGTGGAAATGAATATCACGCGCTCTCTTGCTTGGTACTTTTTTAACGCATGAATTTAAAATTAACGTGATTGGTCAATTTTAACATTAAATGCTAAGTTTTTCAAGTACATTTATTGGGCCGTTCTACTGGTTTCAATAATTATTAACGTTTTGAGAGTTTTTCTACAATCTGGTACCACTATCTTTAGACTATTAATTTACTTTTTTCTTACATAATTTTTTTATTACAGACCAAAGAAGTTGGGTTGAATATGTCATTCTTTTAAATGTAAAATAATAATTTAAGTTCCACAAGTCCTTTTTATTACCTTTTTTGGGTACTTTTTACACACAAGGTTTATAGCGTACTTCCCTTTTTACCAATCGCCTTCCCATGTGCATGGCATGCAATAAATATGCTTGCGGTGTCTCGTGTGCTTACTTTATTTGAATATCTCACAGCTAATGTAAGCGCGTATAAACCACGTGGTCAGTATGATTTGTTTATTATCAATATATATTTAAACGTGCTTTTTATGTATAACCTTTTTTATTTTTTATATTTTTAGGTTGTATTTCAGAGACATGTTTTCAAAAGTAACTTTTCTTTTTATACTATAAAACTATTTTTATTATAATATTGGTATTTTTTAAAAGTACGATATTAAAAAACTACTGTTTTTTAAAGAGTTGAAAAAAGTCGTAATATTAATGATACTATTTTGTTCCGAAAAACGAGCTATGAAATAATGATATTCTTTTTTATGAAAGTGATAATATTTATAATATTTTTTCTAAAAGGAAATATTTATAATAATAATGATACCATTTTCTATAAAAGTGAGAAAATATAATACAATTTTTTTAAAGAGCGTAAGTATTTGTAATAACTATACTATTTCATTTTATAAAAGTGAAAATATCCATAAGAAAGAGACTGAACTGCCCGATAAGGAAACTGAATTTCAGTTGTCTACTCGCTCCGTTATAAATTTATTTATTATTATTACTTTAAAAATATATTAAAGTTATATTCATCATTCATATATTTTTTTATATATATATTATTCTTTTGTAATATATTTTTATTATAGACTTTTATAATTGGAACTAATACTACTATTTTTATTATAAATAATTTTTGTTATATATTTTATTATGTTCATATTATTTATGTTATTATTTTTTATAAATATTTATTTTTTATTTTATTACTATTTTTGTATGCTTTTATCAATTTTTATATGTATATTATTATTACATTATTAAATTATAATTATTTTATTATTATTTTATTAGGATGTTCATATTATTTTTAATTGCTGTTATTATTTATTGTACTATTTTTATTAATTTTTTATTATAACTATTTATTCCTTTTTTTTAATATTATTTTATTGTTTTGTAATATTATTACAATTTTTTATGATAAATATTTATTGTTACTATTTTTATATTATTTATTGAATTGGTTTCTTATTGTTATTATTTTATATTATAAATTTATTTTTTTTGTAAATATTTTTTTTACACTTTTTATTATAAATATATATATTTTTATTTTTAATATTACTTTATAATAATATTATTACATATTATAAATATTTCTTTTCTTAATTAATTTTTTTTTAATATATAAATATTTTTATTATACTATATATTTATTATAATAATAATATTATTATATTTTTTACTATAAATAGTTTTATTATATTTTTTATATATATTAAATTATTATTATTACAATTTAGTTATAAATATTTATCATTTTTATTTTTTTAATATTTATTATTATTACGTTTTAATATAAACATTCTTCCTTTTTTCTTTTTTAATTTTTTTTATTTTGTTGTATAAATTTATTATATTTTATTTAATTATTATTTTCTATAATATTATTTAATACAATATATTCTTTTTTTTTAATATATTATTATTACATTATATATTTTTATTACAATTACAATATATTCATTATTATATATTTATTACAATTTTTATTATAAATATTCGTTTTTATTACAATATATATGTATTAATATATTTATTATAAATATATATATATAAATATTTAAATGTATTATTATCACAATTTTTATTGAATATATATTTTTAAAGATTATATTTCCTTTTACACGTTGATATTTATTAAAATTCATTTTAACTTTTTATATTATTTTAATCAATAAATTTAGGTAATTAAGTTTCTTATAAATATTTGGAAAGGAAATATATTCTCGACCCTTCCAAGGACAGCCAGCCTCTTCCACGTGCTCAGTTCGGTTACTGTAAGTTTTTTTTATATTTTTATATGCAAATTTACTTTTATTGTTCTCATGTTTTTATTCTTTTTTAAATATAAATATTAGAATTATTTCTATTTTATTTATAGTCTTTTTAATATTTATTTCTATAGAACTTTATGAATATAACTTATTCATTGTAAATTTACTTTTATTATTACTGCTATTTTTTCTTAATGTTTTTATTAGTTAATAATCAAAATATTATGAATTTGTTTATTTATTTTTTATAATATATTTATGTGAAAAACTTTATTATTATTATTATATTTATTATTAATAAAAATTTTTTATAACTAATTTAATGTATTAATCATATTATTATTAGTAGGAATATTTTTTTATTCATGTTATTATTTTTATATATAAAATTTAGCAGAAACACTTTTCTTTTCTTATTATTATAATATAACTATTATTATTTTGTTAATATTTCATCATTTTTTAATTATTTTTATATATTAATATTTAGAATTTTTTGTAAAGAACTTTATTATTACTATATTTATTATCTATAGTAAAAATTTTTATAAATTTAACTTTTTATTATTACTACTATTATTATAAATATTTATACTTTAATTTATATTATTATATATTATGTTAATATAATTGTTTGTATTTATTATTATTATTACTTATATAATTTTGTTAGTTAGTATTGTTTACAGTTTTTTCTATTATTAATATAAATATTAGCTATTTTTTACTATTTATTATATTTTTATTAATAAATATTATTATCATCATTCTTATTATCATTTTATATTATTATCTACTTTTATTATTTATTATCTCATTATTAACAATATTATATTTATTTCTATTACTCTCAACTTTATTATTTTTAGTTATTATCATCAAATCTTTAATTATTATCATTACTATTATTTCTATTATTATTTAATTTTCTTATTTGTTATTATATTCTTATTAATACTATTATATATTAATATTTTTATTATTGTTTTTTAAGTTCTACTATTATTTATATACTTTTACTTCGTTATTATTTATTATTACTAATTCTTTGCATATTATTAATTATAATTACTTCATTGTAATTTAATTTTAATAATTCTTATATAAAAAATATTTATTTAATATATATATTATAATTTATTTCCTTTTATTGTAATAGATCCCTTATTTTTATTATAATTATTATTAATATTTTTCGAAATATATTATTTATATAATTTTTACTTCATTATACTTTATTTTTTATTATTATTAATTATTAACAATATTCACTATTTTAGATGCTTTGCTCGGTGGACAAAGAAGGAATTATTTCCTATTGGACGCCTTCAGTCGATAAAGTATTACTATTGGCCCCTCCCAACGTTCGCAATAATTATACTGAATCTCGTGCTTTTAAATATTTTATTTGTTGATTTAATATATTAAATTTTACTTATAAATTTTATTATAATTAATGTTTTTTCTTATCTATATTTATTATTATTTTTTTATATTTTATTCTTTATTTATAATTTTATTTTTATTTACTTTTTTTAATTTCTTAATATTTTTTATATTATATTTTAAATTTTCTTTTTTGGAATATTTTTTTAATTTTTTATAACAAAGTTTATATTTCCATATTTTTTTATTTAATTATAATTTTCCTATCATTTTTATTTTTTATTTATTTTTTTAATCTTCATTTTGATATTTTATATTTTATATATTCTTTATTTTTCATTATTTTTTTGTATTTTTTTATTATTATTAACCAAGTCCTTAAAATAATTTTTTTCTTTATTGTTTCATACTTTCCATAATTTCTCTATATTTGTTATATTATATTTTTTATTATTTATTAATTTTTTTAAATCAAATTCTTTATTTTATTTTTTGTTATTTTTTACTTTCTATATTTTTCATTATTTTTATTGTATTTTTTGTTACTTTTTATTATATTTTTAATAGTTATAGAATATTCTATTATTTTTTATTGAATTTATAATTTTTTTGTTTTTTATATTAATATATTACTTATATTTTGCTTATTAAATATTATTCTTTTATTTACTTCATAATTTTACTTTTTTTTAATTTTTAACCATAAATTTATTTTAATAGTTTATATTTATTTATATTTATTACATTTTTATATACTTTAAAGTATATTTTTTTTCAATTTTTTTTAGTCTATATTCTTTTTGAATTTAATATTTTCTAATAAAATTATTTTATTCAAATGAATTTTTAGATTTATTACTTTTCTTTGCTTCATTATATTTCTTGTTATTTTTATATTTTTTAAAATTTACTTTCTTTATAATATTTATTCATATTTTATATAAAAACCACAATTTTTTTCCACACCAGGAAAGTAAAGGTATCTATATATTTGTGCTTTTTACTATTATTCTTGTTGATCTCCTATTGGTTAGAAGACGAAGCAAATGTAACCAATGAAAAAAACTCTTTTCACGATCTTTTGGTGTGGGATATGAAGTTGACTTTTCCTTATGAATTGAAGTTTTCCTTTTTATATTATTTTTATTTTTATTTTTTTATTATTAAATATTATCAATATCCATTATTATTATTACCCTTATATATTATTATAATTGCTATTATCGTAATCATTATGTTTATTGTTAATATCTTAATTACTATTAATAATCCTTTTTATTACTATTATTACTATTTATTGTTATTATAACTAATATAAACGTTAATATTACTAATAATAATAAAAACTTTATTATTACGTTTATAATAGTTTATTACTTTAATTATCATTTTTAAATATATGAATGCTCAAAACTTATATTTTATATATTAAAAAAGGTTATTATTATTTATTATAATTATTTTTGTTTACTTATTAAAAAGTTATTATTATTTATAAGTAGTTATTATAATATTTTAAAAGTTAACTTGTTATTTTTTATGCAAAGCTTTCTATTATTATTATATATTAATATTATACATATCAGAAATTATTATTTATAGAAATTTATAATGTTATTAAAAAAGTATTAATTAATTTTGATTTATTCAAAAGTTAATTATTATATTTATTATCATTTTTATTGTTTATTTATAAAAAAAATAAATTAACTCATTCATTTTTATTATTTTTACGTTAACTATAATCATTTATAATAATTTTTATATTTTATTGAATATTTATTATTATTATTACTCTTTATTGAAAAGTTTTTTGCATATAAAAGTATTTTTTCTATTAAAGTTATTATATTCTATAAAAAATGAATCAAGTAAATTTATTATTTTTATACTTTAAAGGTTGTTATTATTATAAGTATTGTTATATTTATTATTACTATAAAAAGTTTCATATGTATAAAAGTAATTTTTTTTACTCTTTTAATGAAGTATTAATGTATTTTATAAACGTTATAATATTTCTAATAAAATATATATAATATTGTTTAAATTTTTTTTTATATTACAGAAATTTAATTATTATTGTTTTAATAATTATTATATAACCTTAAGATTTTCTGAGCCCAACTGGAGCGCTTATATATCAAATCTGAAGCCTTTGGGTACTTATTATTATCTTATTTTTCTTTACATTCTTTATTATTACTAATATAAAAGGGTTAAATATTATCTTAAACGCTGAACACTTTTCTTCTTCTATAGCACAACTTTTTAATAATCATCTCTTAAAGCTTTCATGTTTTCAGGTTTATTTTATTCATAATTATTATAACTTTTTTTTATTATAATGAATTTTATTCTCTTTTTTTTATATATATTTTTAGAAGTTGAAATATACACCGAAAAGCTGTTGTTGTTTGTTGGGAAAGGTTTTCATAATATTATATAATATATAATAATTTTTATTATGGTAATAATGATATTTATAATAATAAATAATAATAGTAGTAGTAAATAACATTGATAAACAATCATTCGTAAAAACGTATAAATTTTTTGCTTATTAGCGCCTACTTATTTATCTTTTCTCTGATTGGACAATATTAGTCCTACAATTTTTACAAATTTACATGACTATTGGAACTCTGGTTGGCCAATCATTTTTTGGTTTTTTATAATGTTTTATGGTTAATTAATATATTATTATAACTATTTCACTTAATGTGAGATTTTTTTTAGTTCACTAAAATATACTATAGTTTATTATTATCATTGTTATTTCCAGTTTACTTATTATAGAGATTCTTATTGGTTAGTATTTTTTGGTTCACTAAAACATTTGTAGTTTATATTTAATTTACGAGTTTACCTATGAATGCAAACTTTTCTTGATCAATATTTTATTCACTATAATATTTTATAGTTTATAATTATTTTCACGAGCTTACTTTTTTATAAAAATTCTTATTAGTATTTTTTAGTTCATCAAAATTTTATAGTAATTTAAATTAATTAGAAACTTTTATTGGTCAATGTTATTATTCACCATAATGTTTTTTAATTATAATATTTTTACAAGTTTACTTTATTACAACTTTTATTGGTCAGTTTTTTTAAGTTCACTATAATTTTTAGTTTATAAATATTTTTACTTTATTATGAAGACTTTATTGGTTCTCACAAAAATATTTTATAGTTAACTATTATTATAACAATAATTCTAAATTATAGAAACTCTTATTGGTTATTGTTTGTAGTCCACCACAATATTTTGAGTCTATTAAAAACATTATTTATGAGTAATCTTTTTTTAAAGATCTAGAGCTTAAATTTTTTTTTATATTATTTTTACTTCTTTTAATTTTTTTTTCCAGGAAATTGGCTTTTCTAAAAGTTGTATTAAAAACTTTCGCTTAAAAAATAGCATTTGGACTTTTGAATATATTTTTGGTTTTCATATTTAATAAAATTTTTATTTTTTTATTATAATTATCATTTTATATTTCTAATATATTTTTTAATTTCTAATATTTTGAATTGTATTATTATTATTGTTATTAAAAAAATTCTTTTACCTTGTATTATTTTTTTAGGTTTACGTTTATATTTTATATTATTTAGAAAATTATTTAATTAATGCTCGCTTACTTTTAATATATTTTTACTAAAAATTATTAATATTTTAGAATTTTTGTTCGTTATATATTATTATACTTATTATATCTTTTGTTTATAGTTTGATTATTGCAGTTATATTATAAATTATATATTATTTTATAATATTAAAAAATAATATTTTTGTACAATTTTTTACTAAAGCATTTTCTTTACTGCTTATGAAATTTTTGTTTTTTTTGTTAAATATTCTTTATTATATATTATTTTATATTTATTTATTTATTTACTTAGTAATTTCTTATCTTTGAAATATTTTGTTATTTTTTAATATTTTTTGTTTATTATTTTATTATAAATTTATATCTTTAATATTTTGTATAAATATTTTATATATATTTTTTAAATTATTATAACTATTATATAATAATTTTTTATTTTATTAAATATAATAAAGTATTTAAAAAAATCGAAGTAAACTATTTACTTAATACTTATTATTATTACTACTATAATGAATATTATAAAAAATTTTCATTATATTTTACTCTTTGTTTACTATTTTCTAATTATTAATTTTTTTTAAAATGTTCATATGAAAATATTATTTTTATTATTATTATTATTGTAAATGTACTTTTTATTTTATTTTATTATTATTTATATATTATTTTATTAATGTTTTTATTATTATTTTGTTTATACTTAATATTATTTTACAAACTATATTTTTTTTAAAATTTTTATATTCTTTTTTATATTTTATTTTTTCATTAATATTCTTTTTCTATTTACTATTTTATATTATTCTTTATACGTTTTTTAAGATTATTTATATTATTTTTTTATTATTATTATATTTATAAATATTATTTCTATTTATTATTATTATTTATATATTATTTTTAAAGGTTTTTTTTTCTAAATAATATTTTTTTTAATGTGTTCTATATTATTTCATTATATTTTGTAAATATATACGTCTTATAATTTTTATATGATTTATAATATTTTTTTAATTTTTTACTCAATATTCTATTATTTTTTATTATCAATACTAATATTAATTTATTTAGTAAATATAAAATATTATTTTTCTCCTATTTTTTAAATATTTGATAAATTTTTTATTTATTATTCTCGTTTTATCAAGATAACATTAAACCTATTATAAAATATATCATATTAATAACTATTAAAAAATATTCTCCCCCACTATTTACTTTTACTTTCTATTGTTAATGTAAAATTATTAGTTTTATTTAACTTTTATATATATTATGCAATTTATTATATTTTCAAAAAAAATTATTGCTGATTTTAAAGTATTTATTATTATTATTACTATAAAATTTATATATAAACGTATTATTAAACAGTTATATTTCTATCTATATTATATATATATTTCTTTTTAATAATATTTTTTTATTTACGCTATATATATTTTTATTATTTACTCTTCTTAACCTTACTATAATTATTATATAATTATATTTATTTACTTTTTTATACTTTTTATATTTTTTTAAAAAAGGAAAACTATTCTTTTTATAAATTATAATCTTCTTTTTTTTTGTTATTATTATTGTATTATTCTATTTTTTTAATACTTTAGCTACTTTTTATATATTTTTTTTGTTTTTATAAATTTTTTTTCGAAAATTATTATTCTCTTCATTTGTTAATTTATATAATTTTTTTTTAACTTTTATTTTATTTCTTCTATTAAATTTTATTAATGTTTTATTATTATTTTTAAATATATTATTAACTTTCCGTATTTTTTTTATATGTACATAAAAAAATTTTCATAACTTTATTATTATTGTTATTTTCAGTGTTTACTATTTCTTATTTACTTTAATAAATTTATCTTAATATTCTTTTGACATATATTATTAAAAAAATTGTACAATTTTTTTATTATTAGGATTTTATATTTTTTATAGGAACGTATACTTATTATATAACTTAGAGTTTTTATAAATATCTACAATTAGTATTATTTCTGTTTACATTTTATTATTATAGCTTTACCATATTTATTATTTGTTATCTTTTAATTACTTTATATATTTTTTATCGCTCTTATGAATTTTTGTTATTTACATTCTTTTACTTATTATTTCTATTTTTTATGGCTTGTACATTTTTTATTATTATTATTTTTACTTTATATATTTTTTTAGCTTTTCATAATTATTTGTCTATTATATACCTTTCATACTTTTTTTATTATATGTTTATAGCTTTACAAATATTTATTATTACTTATATATAATTTTTATTCTTTATAGTTTTTATAATTGTTTATTATCTTTTCTTTACTTTTTTATAACTTATGAAGCTTTCATAAATATTTATTTAAAACTATTAATATTTAATATTTTCTATTCGCATTGTATTGTTTTCCATAAAAATTATAAATATATATTATTAGGTAAATATGTAGCATTTTTTGCATAATATTTTTTATTAGTAATATTTATTATAATTTATTTACTTTAATATTTTCTATAGCTTTAAATATTATTATTTCTATTGACTATCTTTATTACTATTATTATTATTTATTATTATTATATGTTTTATTTACTTTTAATAAATTTATTTAAAAAACATTAATAATTTATAATTATTTACATATTATTTACTTTAAAGATGTTTTTTTTATTATTATAATTTAAATTATATTTACTTTTAATATTTATTTTTTAGAATATACTATTTTTTTATTATCTATAAACTTTTTCAAATATTTTTTATTATATATCAATATTATAATTCACATTTCGTTTACTATATCTTTTTTATTTTTATATGTATATATTTACGGTTTATATAATTATTATTATATTATATTATATTACTATTATCTTTTATTAATTTTCTTTTATTTTATTAGAAAAATATTAAGGCAATATTATTAATATTATCAATCTATATATTTTATTTACTTCTTACACATTTTCTTAAAATATATAATCATTTTTATTATTATTATGTATACTTTATACACGTACTATATATATTTTTTAACCATATATTATAATTATTATCAATATTTATATTTTATTAAATTTTACATAATTTTTAAAATATATTATCATTCTATATTATTATGTATACTTCACATACTTTTTTTATATATTCATCTAAAGAATATATAATAATTATTATTATTCTATTCAGACTTGCCTAGAACCACTTTTTCAAGCGAAGTTTCTTATATGCTTTCTAACATTTATAAAGAAGTGAACTCTCGTACTTTTTATTATAATATTTATATATATATATAATTATTATTATTATAGAAAACTTTCAACTACTAAGCGAAGGCTCTGCTTTATTAGTTTTGAATGTAAATATTATTATTATTATGTATTACTTTCTATATATTATTATTATATATATATATTATTTACTATTTATTATTATTTTTTTATTTCTATTTCTATATATTTACTTTATACTAAATTTATATAAATTTATATTTTCTTGTATATATAGTTGAAAATTTTTATTTGTATTTTTATATATTTTTTATATTTATTTTTTAATTATATATATTATTATTGCTTTCTTTATACAAATATTCACAGCATTGTCATTCCTTCTGGGACGGTTTTAACCTTCATACTATCGCG